GTTCCCATAATATAAGAACCAGGGGCCACCAAATGAAATTAATGGGCAGCAGGTTTAAAACAAATAAAAGGAAGTTTTTCTTCACACAGCGCATAGTCAATCTGTGGAACTCCTTGCCTGAGGAGGCTGTGAAGGCTAGGACTATAACAGGGTTTAAAAGAGAACTAAATAAATTCATGGCAGTTAAGTCCATTAATGGCTATTAGCTAGTATGGGTAAGGAATGGTGTCCCCAGCCTCTGTTTGTCAGAGGACGGAGATGGATGTCAGGAGAGAGATCGCTTGATCATTACCTGTTCGATTCACTCCCTCTGGGACACCTGGCATTGGCCACTGTCGGCAGACAGGGTAGTTGGCTGGATAGACCTTTAGTCTGACTCAGCATGGCCATTTTTATGTTCTTAGATCTGTGTGAGCGCCTCTGTAAGGCACATTGCCTACTTAAAAAAAGAACCTTAAATTACGTTTATCAGCTTTCAGCCTTAACTCCAAGCCAACAAATGCCAGCCTGCAGCCCTGTCTTGTCCAATGTTTTGTATCCTGGACAGGGAACTGGAGGGAAGTTAAATGGGAAGAAGACAGTGAGGTGAAAACCTGAACACACTCTGATGCTAGTGCATCCTGTAATTGTGTTGGTTCCTGCCACGTCAGTTTAGAAATATTCTCAAGAAACTTGTTTCCTGTCCATTCAAAAAATAGATTGATGAGGCAGTTACATTACTCTTTGATGGAGTCTAGCTAAAAGCACATTTTGAAGGGTCAGGAAAAGAGATGAATGCGGATTCTTACCTCCAGTTGTCACACACAGCCATGGTTTCCTGCAAAAAGCTCCTGGCAGGAACCGCTTTTTTATTTGTTTACATTATTTGTAGAGTCAAAAAGCTCCAGCCGTCTTAAAGAGGAGGGCAGAGCTCTGAGCCCCCTACCAGATAGGTTTCTGACTACAGTGAACTGCCCTTCCTGCTTGTTCACACACTCGCACACATGGCTTCTCAGTTTGTTTCTCTGATGCTAGGCAGCAGGTTCCGCTTCTGGCCTGTCTCCAGGGCCATTACTTCACTTCCACTAATCAGCATGGATTCTGCTAATCCCCTAGAGGCCACACATGGGGTGCCCTGACTACTGCAGCTGATATTCTGTAACACAAAGAAAGTAACAAATGGTATGACTGAAGCAATGCACTCGATGCAACTACAAGTAGGCAAGAAAGGGAAGAAAATACTGGCCCAAAACACTTCTTAAATAGCACGAAACACTGAAAATACAGTTACCGGCTATTTATACTCTTTGTTGTACATTGTTCAGTTATAAATTGTACTGCTGTTTATTTTTATAAGGTGCCAAACACATGCCAATTGCTTTACAAACAGGGCACGTCTATACAGCAGAGCTAAAGTCAAATTAAGCTGCGCAGCTTCAGCTATGTCAATTGCACAGCTGAAGTCAAAATATCTTAACTTGGCTTTTGGTGCTGTCTACACAGCAGGAAGTTGAAGGGAGAACTCTCTTCCTTCGATTTCCCTTACTCCTCGTGAATGAGGATTACAGAAGTCAGAGTAAGAAGTCCTCCAACTCGCCATTATTTCAAAATAACGGCTTGCTGTGTAGACACGATCTTCGTTATTTCAGAATAACGTTAGTTATTCCAAAATAATGCCGCTGTGTAGCTATAACTACCCAGATCCCAGTGCTGCAATCAGATCTGCCCACGTGCATCCAGTTGGGGATCTTAAGTTTAGCCTCTATTTGACACTTGACAACTACTGAGATCAGATCTGCAGCTCCACAAAAGTCATCTGAACTAGGCCACTTTACAGCAGCAAGGCTCCAGCACATACTTTTCCAGGAGTTTTTTTATTGTCCTCTTTTCATTGGGAGACGCACATAATGGTGCCAGTTCCTTGATTATCATCTAGCATGTGTCACTCGCCTTTTCACATGCCAAGTTCATCAGTGCAGGGAACCACAGATGGTCTCTTTAACTGGAGGGCTTTCCCTAATCTCAAGAGTAATGGCAGTAGGCCAACAAACTCACAGCTGAGGCTGACTAGATGAGATTCCCTGTGGCCTTTGTTATTTGCTGACAACACCACTGCCACCTCAGCTAGGAAATGCTGCTCTTGCAAGATGGGGACAGACCAATGAGACCTTTCTACCTCTCCCAGCCCCTGCGAGTTGGTGGAGTTTAAGAAATTGAACTCTGTCTTCCACACAGCAGGATGCCATTGGAATCCAGGGTTTACTCAGCATAGGCATCACAGTAATCATCACAGCTCATAGCGCAATACAGACAACCAGCAAATATTGGAGGGAAAATCGTTGCAGTGCTGTGTGTGTTGCAAAATGTTATAAGAAGTTATGGACATGTCCTATGGCAGGTGCCAGGGGACTTAATGACTTCAGTACTTAACACTGTGTGTATATCTACACAGCAGTGATATTTTGGAATAACTAATGTTATTCCAAAATAACAAGGAAAGATAGAAAGTATGGCAAAAGACTGCCTTGGCTTAACCAGGAGATCTTGCATGATCTCAAAATCAAAAAGGAATCCTATCAAAAGTGAAAGCTAGGACAAATTACAAAGGATGAATATAAGCAAACAATACAGGTATGCAAAGGCACAAAATGAGCTCAAACTAGCTACAACATAAAGAGAAACAAGAAGACATTCTACAAATATATTAGAAGGAAGAGGAAGACCAAGGACAGGGTAGGCCCATTGCTCAGTGAGGAGGGAGAAACAGTAACAGGAAACATAGAAATGGCAGAGATGCTTAATGACTTCTTTGTTTTGGTATTCACCAAGAAGTCTGATGAAGGAATGCCTAACATAGTAAATACTAGTGGGCAGGGCTAGCCGAGCCGCGGTGAGCCTTGCTCACCAGCCGCGCTGTCCGGAGATCTGCACATGTGCAGATCGTTCTGCGCATGCGCAGATCACCCAAACCCGGCTCTTCTGGGTTGTAATCTACTCACCACGGGCGAGTAGATTACATAGTTTGTCGAGCCCTGCTAGTGGGAATACGGTAGGTTAAGAAGATAAAATGAAAAAGAACAAATTAAAAATCACTTAGAAAAGTTAGATGTCTGCAAGTCATCAGGGGCTGATGAAATGCATCCTAGAATACTCAACGAGCTGATAGAGTAGGTATCTGAGCCTTTAGCTATCATCTTTGGAAAATCATGGAAGACGGGAGAGATTCCAGAAGACTATAGTGTCCATCTATAAAATATAAGGTCCATGTATAAAAAGGGAAATAAGAACAACCCAGGAAACTATAGACCAGTCAGTTTAACTTCTGTGTCAGGAAAGATAATGGATAACTAAGGAATCCATTCTAACTGTCAGCGTAGTTAAACGCTTGAATAATTTGCCTAGGGAGTTTGTGGAATTTCTGTCACTGGAGATATTTCAGAGCAGCTTGGATAGACATCTATCAGAGATGATCTAGACAGTGCTTGGACCTTCCATGAGAGACTGGGCTAGATGATCTCTTGAGGTCTCTTCCAGTTCTAGTATTCTGTGATTCTTTTACTAATAACCAGTCTTGTTAAGTAGCTGACTCCTTATTGTTCAAGCCAAAAACATCAAGATGGTTTTTGGAGATGTGCATCAGCACAATAACCATAATTCACAATGAAATTTGCCTAAAATTAGGTCTGGCTGCTAGTCTCAATCAGCAGTGGAACTCCTGATATTGTTGCACAAAGGTCAAACATGACTTGTCTGTAGTAACCTTTTGATTATTGTTGTAAGTCTTGTTCCCCATCACCTAATGGGAAAACATTCCCACTCACAGCTTCCACTATTTCTGTCTTTCTCTCTGATTTTCCACAAAGAACCTAATGGGAGGTAAAAGGTATTAGCTAATGACTATAAAACTGGTACTATGTGAGGGAACTACAGGTCAAATATCCTTCACTTCCTATCCTAAACTTCTGTATGACATTGCTGTGACAAGTACATTGTTAAAGAATGCTGTTTCATTAACTTATGGCAATTTCTAAGTGAAGGATTTACAAATACTTACACTCTTGCAAAAATTTTGTTTTGCAGTCCTGGAAGGAAACGAGATTTTTCCCCAGTCCCTTGGAGCCAGTACTTTGAAGCTATGGAAGATGTTGTGCCTCAATTGGGGTATGTCTAGACTATATCCTTCTGTTGACAGAGGGATGTAAATGAGGCACTTTGAAAGTGCCTCATTTTTTGAGGAGTACAGGATCTTTCAAAAAAGCCTGCTGTTTTCGAAAGAACCGTGTCTAGACCGCAGTTTTACTTTTGAAATGGCGCTTGTTCGAAAGAGCGCCAGATAGCAAAAATGGTGATCGGGGCTTTTTTGCGCAAAAGCGCGTCTAGATTGGCACAGACACTTTTCCGCAAAAAGTGCTTTTGCGGAAAAAGCATCCGTGCCAATCTAGACACTCTTTTCTGCAAATACTTTTAACGGAAAACTTTTCCGTTAAAAGCATTTGCGGAAAATCATGCTAGTGTAGACGTAGCTGTAGAGCTTTTGGAAAGAAATGGGGCTTGGTTTCGTTAAGAAAAGAGGAGACATGATAGCTGTTTTCAGGTATCTAAAAGGGTGTCACAAGGAGGAGGGAGGAAAAATTATTCTCCTTGGCCTCTGATGATAGGATAAGAAGCAATGGGCTTAAATTGCAGCAAGGAAGGTTTAGGTTGGACATTAGGAAAAGCTTCCTGTCAGGGTGGTTAAATGCTAGAATAAGTTGCCTAGGGAGGCTGTGGAATCTCCATCTCTGGAGATATTAAAGAGCAGTTTGAGTAGACATCTATCAGGGATTTGAGGGCAGGGGACTGGACTTGATGACCTCTTGAGGTCCCTTCCAATTCCAGTGCTCTATGATTTTATGATTGTTCAAACCTGTTACTTTCTCCAGATGGAAGATTTGCAAAATTTGTTTGAGTAGCCTCTTTACAATTAAGTGGTTGATACACCATGTTGCAAGAAGGATAAATGCACTGTGTATATCCTGCAGGAGGAGCTATCTCACCCAGAGCACCCTGCAGAACCAGCTGCTGCAGAAGAAGAGCCCCCAGCAGAAGACATAAAAGCTACTGGAGAGGTAAAGCCCAGACACAAACCACCTAACCCTAGAATCCCTGGTCCAGGGTTTTTCTCTCAGTCTCTTGCATGCACGCCATGAACCTTTTTGTTCTCATGGAAATGAAAGACTAATGTGATCTCAGCGAAGCACAGGACACAAGTGCTTGGCAAGCCTCCTTCAGAGTGTCTACCAATGAATCCCTGACCTTGCCTGCAGGAGTTCCATTTCTGGGTCTTCCCGACACCCACCATTCTACCAGCACCCCTCTGTGCTGCGGCACAAAGCTCCCTCTGCTTTGTTCAGGGGTCTCTGGCTCAGGGATGCATGATTCAGCAGTTTATGACAAACTCGAATGGAGATTAGGCTACGACTCAGCAAGCTAAATTTCACTGGGAACTTGAGCGAGAATAGAACGTATATTCTAATAGAATGGGAAAGGGGAACTTACTAACCTGCTGAATCACCTACACTGGCAAGTTCTTGCCTGAGAAATATGCAAATGAGGCTAAGCGTGGAATATCACTGAGCCTCATTTGCATACCTAATGAGCCGCCATTTTGCAGAAGAATTGTCTACACTGCCACTTCTTGCACAAGAAAAACCCTCTTGTGCAATGCTGTTACAACTATTATTTTCAGGAATAATGGCATTGCGCAAGAGGGTTTTTTTTGGCACAAGAAGGGGTAGTGTAGACAGGTCCTTCTGGCACAAGAGATTCTTCTGCAAAATGACGGCTCATTAGGTATGCAAATAAGGTGCAGCGATATTCCACGCTTAGCCTCAATTGCATATTTCTGGTGCAAGAAGCCGCGAGAAGCGCAAGAAGCCCAAGACATAGCCCTACAGTCCCTGTTGCCTTATGCAGGTTTCTTCATAGATTTTTAATGTGAGGCTCAATCTTGGTAACGTGTGGCTTCCTGTTGTCCACATTCTGTTTGAAATAGTGCTCTAGTCTCTTGTTTTGCTTCTCTTGCAGGGTGAAAGTGAAAGCAATTAATCAGTTTCAGGACTACAGGTGTGACTGAGAGAATTCCAGGAGTACACACTGCAACCTTAGTTGACACCACAGTAGTGAAATCATTCTTCTCATTGGCTAACTACTTTCAGCGCTATAGCCTTTCACGTGCCTCACTAACATATCATACAATAGATGTATGTCAGACTCTGTGTACAGGGCAACTGTTCACCGTGGTCTGTCCCACTCTAACCATCGCTGTCTCCTTTGTGGCTTTTTACCTTCCCCTCTTTGAGCCTTCTGACTGTTAGCAAATAACATAATGTGGTTAAAGTCACTGGTCAACGTTTTATCTCTATTTGCACCTGCACTTGGAATCCCTAGGGATGATGGAAATGATTTTTTTAAACTACAAAATAAAAGTATTTGAACTACTTTTCCTTTGTCTTGCTGGTCCCTTTTATACGTAAAAGTTCTTTTCCACAATAATGATCTTGATCTGAGTTTCTAAGCTGAAAATATCTCCGGACATGCACACTTGGTGCTCAACCAAAAGGAGAAATAATCCAGTGCTTTGTTCCCTGTGTCAGCAATGAAACGGAGGGGGGGGGGTCTGAAATCCGTCAACGTGCTCCTGATATGGGCCAGGGTGAGAGGACTGAAATAATTCAGAGTAAAATCACTAAGGAGAAGAGCGCTTGTGATCCTGAGCAATCACATCTAGAAATGTGGATCAGTGTCGCCTGAAATGTTCCCAGGAAATTCCTCCCAGAATGGAGGATGGGGAGTGTTCAACATTTCAGATAAGTTTCCTTCCAAAGTAACACACAAATCATTGGTTCTTAGAGCTTTCGCCTGTAGATCTCAAAGCACTTTACAAAGGAGGTCAGCATCATAGGGTCTGGAATCCTCAGAGGGGGTAAATATTTCTGAAACTCACTATGATAACCCCAAAACATACCATATAATTAACTATAAACAAGCACATGGGTGCAGTAGGTATAATACCTCTACGTATCCAGTCAGATAATATTTGGGTACTTGGTTTCTACTGGAATACATGCTAATTCAGGAAATGTGAACTATTTACTCCACACAGCCTAGCCTATAGGCTCTCTTTGAGCTGCTACAGTACTTCTATGCTGTACAGCTCTGCGTTTAGCCTAGTTTTGAACCAATAACTGAGCCTTTGGAGCCATTCTGGTCTAGCCCTTCTTTGCGGCTGAATGATGGTTGCTATCTATCACTACCCTCAGGCCCAGCCAATGTGCTTGCAGGGCCCAAGGCAGCACACTGCGTGGCGCGGCCAGGCGGCTCAAAAGGAGGACAGCGAGTGGCTGGGTGCTGGGCAGTAGGGGGCTCTTAAGGCATGGGGCCCAAGGCACCCTTGCTCACCTTGCCTGAAAGCTTGGCCTGACCACCCTCACTTAATGGCTTACCGTTACCTCAACACAGTTGCTATGGTAATGGAGAATGGCTCAACCGCTTCCTTGTGCAGATGGGTGGGGATTTGCCCTTGTCCATATACCCTTGCTACAGCTCAGTATGTCTGCATGTAAGACTAAGGGGGTGGCTACACTGCACCCATAGCTCAAAATAAGCTACATAATTTGAGCTATGCAAATTGAGTAGCTTATTTCCGGTCAATTTTGAAATAATTTATTTTGAAATTTGGCACAGTCTACACAGCACTTATTTCTAAATAAATCATTATCCCGAAACATCTCTTACTCCTCATGGAATAAGGTTCATAGGGACGTTGGGATAACAAGCCCATTATATTTCGAAACGGTGCACTCGAAAGATGTGGAAGAGTATAGACATAGCCTAAATGAATGAGAGAGGGTTCAGACAGAAATAGCAAAAGCACGTTGGGCCTATTTCAAGCCCTTTGTTGTTTATTCTGCAGCCAACATAACCTGAAAATTTTAGCTTGAGCTAAAGGATTTGTCTGTATATAATAAAATTAAGTTATTGTGATATTAAGCCACTGGAACAAAAACTGTTCTGCTGCTGTTGTAAATCATCTGAATCACTGTCAGTTGAATCATCCCAATTATAAATGACAGAGGAGACTCAAACACATTAAGAACTACTGTTGTAACAAGAACATACAGCAAAATGTTTTACAACAAAGTCAGTCATAGGAAAGCTGGCAAATTCAATTAGGTGAAAACAGTAGGAGGAGGAAAGAGGTTTTTTTGTTTTCAAACACACACACTGGGGTGAGGAACACAACAGGACTTTTGATTCTCCTTGCTTCACAGTACTGGCCTTCTATCATCCCATATGTGTTAGACCCCGGATGGCTTCAAATTCTTGATTGTCAAAGTAGATTCACATATGGGATGATATTAGAAGGCCAGTACTGTGAAGCAGGGAGAATCACAAGTCCTGTTGTGTTCCTCACCCCAGTGTATGTTCTGACACACCTGAAATGGTGGTGTTATGGCCTGAGCACGCACAAGTCCCCGTGAAGTCAGTGGGCACGGTAGGTGTGCAAACCATTTGAAGAATCCGGCCAATACTCTCTGCCAAACCTCATACAACTGATGGGTGCTGGATGTATTAAAGAATAATTGAAATGCATCAGTATCGACTTCATGGATGCTTAGGGAGGGCATGGAGCAAAAATAGGGCCTGACCAGGCTGCTGCTCTGGTCCTGGCCACCAATCAGTGCTTCAGGCACAGATTCTGCCCTCCCATCTGTTCTTCAGGAGACCAGGTCTCTCCTCTGCCCTTCTTCCCTCACTGCACTGATGGGGCTTAAAAGTTGGCTCCCCATGCGCACCAGGTCCCTGGGAGTCACCTGCTGCCACCTGTGTAAACTCATAGTTGCTGAAATTTTCAGCTGGTTATTTAAACACATTGGAACATCCCTAGTCCAAATGCACAGACCAGGCTAGGGCAGAGGGTTGGGATGCGTGGAGGAGGAAGGCAGGGCTTAACTTGGGTGGCTCCCAAAAGTGACTGACATACCCTTGGGGGAAGGGAGGGAGTCAGTGGATCTCCACACACCACTTCCCACAGGCACGGGCCCGCACAGCTCTGATTGGCTGCAGTTCCTGGCCACTGAGTGTGGAGTTGGCATGAAAAGTGAGCTCCCCCTTCCCCTGGGGCTGTAGGGACAGTGCCTGGCCCCTTCTGAGAGAGGAGTTGCAGTAAAACCTGCCTTGGTCCCACTGTACTGCTGGTGGCCGTAAGTGGGGCCTGCCAGGCCCTTTCGCATCACCCAGGCCCTGGGCAATTGTCCCCTTTGCTTCCCCTTCCCCTGTGCAAATATAAACTGAGCCTACACCAGGCCGCTCTAGCTAGCTATGCTGGCAAGCATTGCCTAGTGAAGACAAGCCTTGGCTAAACCCTGAAGAATTTACTTAGCCAAGTACCCAGCAGTTTTGAGCTCTGGCCCTCTCTGTGGTCCTGGAATCAGACTTCTCACACCCAGCGGCTGTTGATGTCTGTGTGTCCTTGCCTACTGCATGCTGCCAGCTGAAGGCATAAAGGGGGCGTGGACTCACCCCTCTTCAGTTCTGTTTCTACCACAACCTAGTAAAGCCTGAGAGCGCTGGGGAAGGAGGGTTTTTTTTGGGGGGGGAGGGGAGATGGAAGGAGGGGGGGACAGTAGAATACAGATAAAAGCTACAAACCTCAACCATCCAGATACAACAAGGTAAGTAGCCGCCTTTGGTTCTTCAAGAGGTGCCCTCTAGGTGCATTCCATTGTGGCTGACTGGCACATGGTACTCAGGTAGGAGGTGGGTGTGAGGGTGCAGATGGTGCAGCCATTTGGAGCCTCACTCTCCTAAAGGAAGAGTCAGTGGGGTTCTGCACGAGACCTCAATGTCTCTCAAACACGTTTTTGTCCCTTGTAGGTAGAAGGCAAGAGTGTGATGTAGATTGAGGGAGTACAGTCTCTTCTTCAGAAGCATGTGATTTCAGAAAAAACACAGGTAAGTGATGCATGTGATTGCTTCATGCCAAAGTCCAACGCTACTTGGCGGGGAGCATTTTGGGTGTAGTTGTGAAGCGACTTTGTTTTTATGGAATATATGATGGTTCTGCCTTTACAGGTCCCAACTAGCCCTGTTCGGCTGAGGTGATAGCCACAAAGTTTGCAACCATCAGTTATATGAGAGACATGGAACACAGCCAAAGATTTGAAGGGTGGCTTAGTGACCGCCAAGAATAAAGGTTAAGCCCTGATGAGGTTTCTTTATGGCATTTCCTAATAGAACCTTTTCTACTATTATTAAGGTTGGTTTGTATGGTTTAAGAATAGGAGCTGGAGCAGCAGTCAGTTCATTCCACCCTTCATAGCATGGCTGGAAACACAAGAAGGCATGGCCAGGGTGCACATGCAGACCAATGGATGCTGCTTGTAAGAATTCTCTGATTCTAGGAGAATGGAGTCCAGCACATGCTCACATCCACATGTAGTAACCTGTACTCAAAGACGACCCATAGGCACCTAGAGGCTACTTGGGAGATGAAACACTGCCTATGGCGCTCTGCCTTTGAAATCAAAGTAGAGACACAACCAGATTGTTAGGTTCACTTTAGGGCCTATGCCCCTTAGAACTCTCAAGTTGTAAGGAACACCCAAATATAAGGCTAAGGTAACTAAGTGCTTATCTTCTGGGACATTTTTCTGTGTTTTAGCCAACTCCCAAGAGGGAGAAGTTAACCACAGTGCCTAAAGTATGAAAGAAAAGAATGGGAAAAGAGTGACACATTGAAATATAAACCTAGCCCTCACAGAATCCATTCTAAAGCTCACTTCAGTAATTTCAGCCTTCTTCCATTGTACATGTATGTTTTGCTGAGACAGTGCAATGTATTTGTATAGAAATGTTGATAAATACAAAGGTTATGAAAACTCATTCCTCTGATGCAGAATACGTGGATACACCCTCTTTGGGAAAAGTAAATAATTCATCATGTCACTGCACACTGTCAGGTCTCATTCAATAGACAAACGCTAAGCCTTTCAAGCAGCTCCACCTATTGAAACAATTTGCCCAGAGGACATCTGAAGGAGCATTGGCACATGTATAAAACCACCACAACTTAGAACAGTCCTGGCATAGCGTAGTGCAAATTGCTTTGCTTCTGTTAGACTGCAGATTTTTTGAAAGCTTTTAAAAGCAACCATGTCCGGGAAGGGCTTCAAGGGTTTTCAACAACAGGCAGAAGGGGAGGCCCAGAATGCAGGTAAGGAACATTAATTGTATTTACTCTGTTTTGAACAAACCAGCCAACCAAGGAACAGTTTCTGCTCACTTACACCAGTCTAAATCTAGACTTTAAATGAATGAATTTGACTAAACTGGTAGAAGTGAGCACCGCATATGGTCTTTGCTCTATTTTTGTTTGGACTGAATTTGGTTAATCCCAACAGCATATTTTGGTGTTTTATTTTATAGTATGGTAAAAATCCAATCACTTTATGGCTAGGATTAGCCAATCAGTGTCCCTTATTATTTGAGACTGATTATTTATTACTTCTAAAAGAAAAAAAACCTACAACACTGACAGTGTGGGACACCGGAGTCTTCAGTTCAGAGACAAACTGGAACAGAGGGTTTGGTCCTGAGGGCAATGGTTTTGCCATTGACTGCAGTGACTACAGAATCAGAACCATGGGCTCTGTTAGACACATTTCTCTGTTAAAGTGTCTGAGCCATGATTTGGAGGCTACCACCTTCAGGATTAGCAATCCTGCAACGGGCAGCTCCTCTCAAACCGTACTGCAGGATAAGGACCAAAGGAGATCTTTTTGTTGGTTGAATAAGAACTTTATATTCTGTAAGAAACAAATTACTTTTCATTCTGATCACATTATAAATACTTCAGTGTTTGTGAACAGCGTAACCTAGTTTCATACACTGCTCTCTGAACTGACCTCTGTTGAAGCAATGACATTTATTTAACTTGTGGTAGGTGAGTTTGCAACCCAGACTAAACAACAATGCTTTGCGGAAATCAATTTTTAGTGTCTCCACTCACTGAAATATAGACTATTTACAATAAATAATACATTAGTTTTGCTCTTCACAAAGAGCCTTCAGATTTCTCTGTAAACAAAAATCTTTATACATTTTTACCATAGGGAATGTTTGATGTATTGCTATAACTTTAACTCTGTTATGACTATTATTGTGCATCAGAGCTTTATATTTCAAACTAAGATACTATTTTCTCTGTAAGCTAATATATTCAGTCTATCTATACTTTCTTATACCACTTAAAATATCTTTGCTGTAGATTTATTTACCCTCTGCTGAAGTTTCTGTGGTTTGTCACGAGGTCACATGCTCTCCAAGGCAAGAGCAGATCTTCAGCAGACAGAGACAGCACTCTTGGATAAAAGTCATGGCTCATTCTGCAAATACTTACATATGTAGTTTAAATACATAAGTAATCTGACTTCAATAGCATTATTGTTGTTTTTAAAGTTAAGCATGTCTGTGTTTGCACACCTATGGGGACAAATTTTAATATGCTAAAAATGATATTTTCATACTTGGGGAGTCCAGTTTCCAGGGACACTGATTTTGAACATCTCAGTTTGGACACACTGCCAATCACACTCAAATATCCCAGCCTCTTTAATTGCTCAGTCTCTAGCAATCCAGTTAAAGAGCATCAGTTTAAGCTGTCCAAATATTACTTCAAAATTCATTGTAGAACTCAGGCTATGATGTTCACTTTCTTTCTTAATATATGTGATACTCCTTTCATAGCTTGAATACAGGTACAGAAACAGCAAGTATAAACTAAAATTGTCCTGTAGAGTACAAATGTCATCTTTTGCATTGTTTCTTACCTTCAGATCTGGGTGTCCTACACAAATCGGTTAGTTTTCAACAGGGTGAGCCTATCTGGTGAAGAGTTGGGGCTACTTTGGGGGCCTTTAGTCATTTGCTAACGTCTTGAGAATTCTGCCCAGTTCTCCTTACATGAGGCACATCCACAGGAACATAACATTATGTATCATGATGCATTGACCAGAATTTTCCAATACAATTTAACGCCAGATCAGTGCAGCTCCGACAAGAGATCTCGGGCTGAAGTGCCCTGTTCCTTTTTGCTGCATGAATCTTAGTTCAGCTCAGAAGAGATAAGGAAGTAAAAGCCATTTAATGTTAAATGTTAGCCTTATGAGCCTTTTCTCAATGTGATGTAGGCCCTCCTGTAACAAAGTACTTGGCTTTTTAAAAGCAAAATGCACTCAGCTGTGTTTCTAAATGCCACATATGTTTGGTAAATTCTTGTCATTGATATGACTTGGTCACAGCTAGTCAGCCAGATGCTGTGAAACCGAGACTGTGTTTTCATAAGTGAATATCTTTTATGTGAAAAATCTTTTAGATGGACAATCCCACATCATTTCTGATTACTGTTTGGTGGTCTGCATTGGAGGTATTATACAGGCAGTCCCCGGGTTATGTACAAGATAGGGACTGTAGGTTTGTTCTTAAGTTGAATCTGTATGTAAGTCGGAACTGGTACATATTGTAGGGGAAACTCTAGCCAAACATTTCTCCAGAGCTCAGTTTTATTCTCCCACACCTCACTTCCCTCAGTCCTTTATTCTCAAGCTGAGGTGTCTGCTGCGAAAAGCCGCTCAGCGTCTCCCTGGTCTGCTGGGGGGAAGCAGCTAGTGCGGGGTTGCCTCACCCCGTTTGTAAGTAGGGATCCGATGTAAGTCGGATCCATGTAACCCGGGGACTGCCTGTATTTGTACCTCTTGTTTCCCTAGCTGCTGCTTGAAAAATACCCTTTGCCCTGCCTCCATCCTTCTTTCCTTCCTGAAACAACACTTCCTTTAAAAGGTCTGCAAAGACTATTTTACCCTTTGAGGAAGTGTTAATAACTTAAATGGCAGAACATCAACACAAGAAATGTAAATACATAAATAAGATACATGGAAATAGCAATGTGCAGCTAAATGCTACTGCTAATCCCATCATTCTATCCCCCAGCCTACATTTTATTGTCTTATCTATAGTTGTTAGTCTCTAAGCCCTGGTGTACATTGGGGAGTTATTCTGAAAAAACAAGCGGAGCGTCCACACTACCAACCCTGTTACTTTGAAATAAGGGGCTGGTTATTTCACAGTAACTCCTGCTTTCCATGAGGAACAACACTTATTTTGAAATAGTGCTAACATGGATGCTCCACTGTTGCTATTTCGAAATAACTATTCCCCAGAGTCAGTCAAAGCAATTACTCCCTAATGCTTCCTGGGGCTCTAAGTCGAGGTAGCATGTCCACATTAAGGGAGCCTGCCTTGGACTAATTTCAAGGCTTTCCTGTTGTATGGATGCACTATTTCAAAATAGGTATTTTGGGAGCTATTTTGAAATAATTTCCTAGTGTAGACATGCCCAAAGGTGCCCCAGGACTGTGCGTTGTTTTCAACATGCCCTGTTGGTACTAAATAATCACGTAGCAAACTTCCCTGGCAGCATACCAGCCAGTTTATGTACCTCCTATGGACACGCCTCAGCAATCTGCATAGCCTCAGCCTACTCTCTATTAATAATCCCTTGATCTACTCCCACCATGATCTACAGCCTGTAAAACATGCACCAGAACCAACAGTCATAAGCACTTAATGGGGGTGGTGATGTAGAGCGAATGGAAAGCAAGAAGAGGTCTCTCACTCAGTCTCTCATATATAAAAGTTTTTCCTGCAGGACGAAAGTGACATCATGTCACTCTGCATTCCGCCTGCCTTCTTCCATTCTTGCCTCTCCCAGCTCAAGCCTGACCTCACTGCTTCCCCTCACCCCTTGGAATTGCTAAACCAAGCCTCTACTCCCCCCTCCTTCACCCCTGCCCCACAGGGCTTTCAATGCCAAGATCAGTAGCTGGCAGACCCTAAATCACAGCTGAGACAGCCCAGAGGCAGAAGTTCAGTGCTTGGGACAGCAGCCCAGGGACAGATGCTAGAAGCGGGGCTCCCAGTCAGGCTTATGTGCCAGCAGCAGGCTCTTGGGGAGCTGGAGTGCAGCGCCCGACCACCCAGACTCCAGCTGCCCCCATGAAGACTCCCCCCTTCCCAGCAGCTGCACTTACAGTGGCTGGCAGAGCACCCGAGCCGCCCAGCGGAGCCGCTGCACAGACCTGTTGGCGCCTTTCCTTCTGCTCCTGGATGGGCAGCCCTGGGCTCTGTGGGCAAGGCCAGGACAGGGAGCAGCGCAGGTGGGACCACTTGGGGCAGGTAGGCAGGCCCCCCTGTGCCTCCCCCTTCATCAGGGCTAGAGCTACGCCTGGCGTGCACCGTGACTGGGGGAGGGAGGTTAGAGTTGGGGGTGCAGAGAAAGGCCCCAGGCTGGTGGGGGGGAGGGAGAGAGGAGGTCTGTGATGGGGCAGCAGGCAGTCTGAGGGAGGAGAAGGGACCCAGGCTGGTGGGGGAGAGGGAGCGAGGGAGGGAAGGAAGGGAGAAGAGATCCGGGTGGTTGCAGCCTCAACCCAGCCCTCCCCAGTGGCTGGAGGGAGAGCTGGGGTGGCCTGCCCCCTACCAAGGGGGCTGGCGAGCGCAGTGAGAAGGGGAAACAGCCCCCTAGTAATCCTATCAGGTTAAATGCTTTGTTTTTCCTAATTTCAGCAAATGCACTGGGAAAGTCTGCCCAACATGTAGTGAACCAGACTACAGATGCAGGTCAGAAAGGTAAGAAACATTAGATTACGTTCAATGAAGGCAAAACTAGGCAAGAAAGCCACAGCCACCTTAATAAAAAGTACCATAAACCCAGGCCCAAATAAGCGCTGTGGTGCCAAGATACTAAAGAAAGAAGACCAATTCCACTTGAAGAGCTTTGTGTAAGCTTGTCTCACCCGCACAGAATTTGGTCCAAGAAATCGATCGCCTCACACCTCATCTCTCCGTGTACTGACTGGCAGATACTACAGTTTCTCTCTGTTTCTGTGGCTCTCAGGGATTTCGCATTGTGTTCAAAGATCGTTGTTGATCAGTGAGGGCTCTGGCTGGGGTGCAGTGAGACTGTGGAGGCGGTCAGCACCCCTGGTTGTGACACCAAGTAAAGTCACCAGAAAGTGGGGGTGTAGCCACATTGTCAAAATATAGCAGGCTCCTGCTGCTCTGCTGCCGCCCTCCCCTTCCTGGCCATTGTGGCTACACTGCAGCTGCCCAATCCCTCCAATGCCCCTCACCATCCACAACAGGACCTGCTCCCCACTGCTAGAAATAGTGCAAAAGGCAGCAGGGACAAAAGAACTGCTCACAGCAGGCAGCTGAACTTACACAAGCTAGAGACGGGAGAGACCAGGAGAAAGCAACTCCCTCATTTCTTACCTCACTGACCAACACCACTGTCCTTTCCTTCAGTGCCCCACATCAACCCATAGCGCCAGCAGCCCCTGAAACACCATCATCACACACAGCCCCCCAGCCACTCTGCGACAGCACCTCCTGACCTAGCACCATCCTTACCTAGCAACCCCTCAATACCCACCGCTCCAGCACCAGCTTTCCCTCTCATCCCACACAGCAGCTCCCGCCACCCCAGGCGCCTGTCCAACAGTGCCCAACCTGTCTCCCAATGTCTAACACAGTCCACCACCATCCAGACATGAGCTTGCACTAGCAGAGAGAAGCCCTTCTGCAGCATAAGTAAATGGTTATCTAGCGCAGCGAGCAGGAATCCGATTGTATAATGAATAGTACACAATTCTGTGTAACAGTAGAGATACACGAGTTGGTTTTTCCATTTCCCCCCTTCCCCAATAAATATGGAACATACATTGGAATGTATTGACCTTGCTTTTATGTTAGCTTCTTCCTTATCTTTCCCAGCTATTGACCAGGTTTGCAAGACGGCTCAAGAAGGTGTTGAAAAAGCAACTGGAGAAGCGTCAGAAGCAGCATCTGGCCTTGGGAAGAAGTGTGGCCTTAGGAAATGATCATTTCAGCCAAGAGGAGGAGAGATTATAAAATCAATGTTTGTGCTGCAAGACAGCAATAATTTATGTTGAAATATGAAACCTGTTTGAGATTTGGATCATTTACTGTGCTTAAGCTTTAATGCAAAAATTCCATACGTAGAATGCTCATCCAGCAAATAGTTAGAACCCCCCTCCCCCCGCCAATAAAAAACCACCACCTTTATGAGCTATTCATAATCTCCCATTCCATACAACTCAAGAAAGTTTCAGCCATGACTAAGGTATTGTCTGTCTCATTCAGTGATATAAAGGTTGATGATACATTAGGTTAATATACCTAAGAATTTAAATACTTCAGAATTTAAAATCACAAATAATGAACAGCAGAAGGTTTACCTGTGCTATTCAGGTTTTCTTCTCCAGCTACAGCTAACTGATTGTGCCATTTCAAGCCAGAAGTTCATTTATTCTCAAATTTTTAAAAAAATGCATAAGGGAATAAGGAAAAACAAACTTTCTTTTGCAAAGGAAAAGTAATATATCACCATAACACACTGAGTTATCATAGAGAACTCGCCACCAAAGGAACTCAGTGTTTTATAAACCTCTCACTCGAATCCAAACACCACTGAGTAGGCTAAGTAGTAAACCCATTTTACAGCTAGGCTAAATGAGTCTCTCAGATGCAGAATTGGGAAAGGCCACAGAGAAATTCAGTGAAAGGGTCTGGAACAAAATACAAACATCTTGGTACATAGTTCTCTGTTCTAACACTGCCTGCCTCCTTTATAGTTATATTGTGCACCTGTCACAGCACCTGATCCTACTGACATTGGAGTCAATGGCATATCTCCTGTTGCCTTCAATGGGAGCAAGCAGGATCAGATGTGTTATTTACACATTTAACTTCAAAATCATATACAGACAGTCCGTTCTAGCAGTGCATCCCCAAGACAGAGATAACCCTTAAACTCCAACTTCTACCTAGCCCTGAAACACTCACTCAGAAAAAGCTCAACTGCACTGCCTTAGGGCCTGTCTAACACTAATCAAGTTTAGCCTGTCTCACCATGGGTAAGTGAATTCTAGTGCCACAGACCCTTCACCAGTCTAACCCCACCCATTTAATGTACATTTAGCAAACCTCAACTTGAAAAATATTGATCTCAAAAGTTGATGAAAACCATGAAGGCAGCAGCAATCTTCAAGGTTACCCTGATGGAAACCTTCAAGCACTTTGTAGGTTAAAATTATTACCATGAACTGACCCCTGACACATACTGTAAACGAATGCAATCAGTATGCTCCTGGCATAATACACTGTATTCAGGAGGCCGGCATCTGCATTCCACAGATGAAGTTTTTGATTGGTCTTCCTCAGCCAAACACATTATGTCACAGTAACCCCGTCAGGAAGTTACAAAAGCATGGTTGCCTGGTGTGATGTCTAGATCCTAGAGGAAAGGAGGGCAAACACAGATTGTAAAAGCACTCCTCAGCAGCTACCTTCTGGACAAACAAGAACAAGCTGGAATAGAACCAAACCTCTGGTTTGTTAACAAAAGAAAATGATACCCACTTAATCAAAGGGATCAAGACATGCTCTTTCTTTTTCCTCTGAGTATTTGCTCAGTCACCAACATAATCTCTATTTTATACAGTTTGAGACACAAAGAAGTTCTAAATCAAGCATTAGTCTGGGCCAGACACTGGAAAAGCTGTCTACATGGGGCCCAATGTGGGAAAAACCTCCTCTTTCGGAAGAGTCCTTTTCCCTCATAAAATGAGGAATACAAGGGCTTCTGAAAGAACACACTTGCTTTCTCAGAAACTGTTCGGACATGTTCCCTGGTTGATCAGAAAAACTCGGTAGTGTAGACAGCCTCAGAGAGAGGCAGCAAGGGGGGGAGGGGAGCAGGAGCTGGTGCTGGGAGGAGCGGGCTTAAAAGCCAGTTCACCCCAGCACCATCTGTACAGGGGGCCGGGGAGTCAGAAGCCCAGTAGGGACCGGGCACAAGCTGGGAATCAGCTGATTCCTGGCTCCCATCTAATCCCCATCCTCCCCCACTGTGCTTCAGCCTTTTAAATGCATTAAGAGCCTGATGGCTCTTAACATTTAAACAGCAGTGCCATCTCCTGAGACCAGTTTTCCCCCCTTATCAACTAATTGACTAGTCAATGGAAATTCCATTGACTAGTCAATTAGCTGATTAAATGCCATCTCACAATTGGAATACATGAGCAAGCACTCAAAAAAAAGGGGGGGGTGAGGGGGAGAGAAGAGCAATGTCTTGAGAAGCTTGGCTACATGTGATTTTTCCAAAACTAGAAGCTAGGTGTGAGTTCAGCAACAACTCCCCCCCGCCAGTCCGTGCTCTGCTAGTGACACCATCCTGAGGCCGAACTATTCCTGAGCCAGTTAAGCTAGGAAGAATGATTGTGCCTGAGCAATTGAGAAGTCTGAGGCAGTCTGCTCAGAACTATACATTACCTTTAACATTGGAGACAACAATACTCTTGGGCTATATCTACACTGGCGGCTTCTTGCGCAAGAACATTTTGTTAAAAGGTTCTTGTGCAAGAAGTCTTGCACAAGAAAACATCCACAGTGCCATGTGCGAGCTGTGCTTTTGTGCAAGAGTATCCATGGCAGTGTGGACGTTCTCTTGTGCAAGAAAGCTCTGATGGCCATTTAGCCATAGGGGTTTCTTGCCTAGCGTCCACACTGCCCTCTTGCGCAAGAGCTCCCGCGCAAGACAGCTTACGCCTGATAAAAAAGCATAGCACTTGCACAAGAGGCCCTCTCTTACCACACCATAGTGTAAATCGCCTTCTGCACGAGAGGGTGGGCAGTGTGGACGCTCTGCGGATTCTTGCGCAAGAACCCGCTAGTGTAGACATAGCCCTAGGTTACACTTAAGCACACCAGTAAATCATATAGCTACCCGATGTGTACCCAGTTGCTGACTGCAACACTGCTTGGGAGAGCGACTCCTGTGACAGTTCCCACAAGTCTTCTGTAAGTCAACTAGATTCAGTCCATAAACAAACCCATATCTTTAAATCAGAGGAGGGGAACCTTTTTTGAATGGGGGGGGTCCTGATCTAGAAATATCAGTTGGGGGGCTGCACACAAATGAGAAGTGGAAAAACCCCTCACCATAGCCCCTGAAGGAGAAACAAACACACTCCCACATTCCACTTGCACACCAGAGCCTAGGGGCACCCAGCCTAGTAGATTGTGTGTGCTCCAGCCCCATGGGGCAGTGGGGCAGCAGAGGGAGTGAGCACCAGTGTAGGCTCCCCAGTGCCGGGAGAGGGGGAGCTGAGTGTTGGGGACTGCATCTGGATCCCGGGCCTGAGGTTCCCCACCCCTGGTTTAAATTGATAAGTCATTCTGTTCCTTTCCACATTTATCATAATTCGGTTTGTATCCATGTCACTGAAAAGCTTCTTTGCCACAGGTCAATGTATCATTTTAACATATTTCACAGTATTCTATAAGCCTCCCACTCTAATGCTATTAGTGAAGTAGCATAAAGTTGGCTACAACTGAACCCAACTGCTCTAATTTCAGGGCTAGATCTTTGGGGGGCAGTCAAGCAGCTCAACACAGGACCTGAGAAGAGGCCAGAGAGATAATTCTTCCACTCATCTATTTTTGAGAATAGCGTGGGATTGATGGAATACACTCTGCCACCAGGTACTGGGAGGCCTAGGGGGAGCGGATAGTGTAGAACCAAGGACAGCAGTATTTTGTCCCCCCAAAGATTCAGGACCAGTTGACAAACAAGAGCTTGTCTGGGAATAGCCCCAAGTAGCTATTACACAGTAACTCCGTGTTGACAATTATTGCACACTCAGATCGCCTTTGGGTAGCTTAGTTTAACCCACTTAACAGAATAGCGGTTTTATTTCACTCCCATCTTACTTTGCAATAGCTGTGCTGTATAGATAAGCCCTTGGCCAGCTTTCCTTTACCTTTCTTCATGACTTCAACAGTGCAAAAGCACAGGAGCAACACAGCTTTGGCTGTCTCCAAAAGCAGCAGCGGCAGAGCACAACGAAGACAGGATGATATTAGTCATTTGCCCCATGAAAGTACTAAGGAATTTGGAGCATAAGTACCCAAGTCTCCTCACTGGTCCCTTTTTTCTAATTATCCAGGTCATAAAAGATTTCAAATCTGCTACAAATAGCTGAGGTTACAAAAAGCAAAATTCACCCATTAAAAGAACTGCTGTGACTAAGGTTACTATTAGAGATGTTGCAAACTTGTTTAGAGACTGATGCCACTTAAAGTTGGGCAAGAGGTGACTGAAGGCAAGGTCTTATTTTAGCACTTCATGGAGATTTACAAAAAGCAGTATTGAAAAGTAACCTCTCTGAAGTTCTTATTTTTGTTCTTTAGTTTTGTTTCTGGAACTAGACTTTAAACCAGGGTTACTCAACTTTGGAAGCCCCAGGGGCCAATGATACAGCACATGCCAAAGTTCAACTTAAGTGCAACTTAAGTGTGGTTATGCAACTATATATGCAAATAGCTTCTTTCACACAATGCCCTGGCTCTCCCGGCACCTCCTGCTAGGGGCTAGAAACACCCACACCCTATACCCCTCTGTTCCAGCCAGCCCATCTGCTTGCATCTTTCAATGTGCACCCTGCCTGGGAGATGCCTTGCCATTGTAGAGTGTGTTCCTAGTGGAGGCCATGTTCAAAGGACCCCACCTGCGGCCCAGGTGTTGAGCCCCAAGTCAACCCAAACTGCACCACGGGCTGCAAACCAACAGGCCTTGGGCCGCATTGAGTGGCCCTGCTTTAAGCCAATGGTAGACAACCTGCAGCTGGCAGACTGGGATTCCACCCGCAGCCCACTCACCCTCTATCCCCTTCTTCTAGTGCCTCTCATGCACGGGAGCCCACACTTCCTACTCCTCCTCCTCCCAACCAGCACTTTTGAATTCACTGACTGATGCTCCATCCCCCTCCTATTCACTTACAAGACCACTAAGCATGCAGCTCACTGAGATGAAGGAGGGTCACTCATGTGGCTTATGCACAATTCTTGGTTGCCCATCAGCAATGCAGACTATTTTAGGCTTAAAAGGGTAAGTCAATGCTCTATGCCACTGGCCTCCTCCTCCCAACCAGCACTTTTGAATTCACTGACTGATGCTCCATCCCCCTCCTATTCACTTACAAGACCACTAAGCATGCAGCTCACTGAGATGAAGGAGGGTCACTCATGTGGCTTATGCACAATTCTTGGTTGCCCATCAG